GTCTTCTGCAAGAATAATCAGTGTTCTTAACCGCTGAGCCATCTCTCCAGCACCTAGTCTCTACTCTTAATGGAAAGAAAAACCCAAAATTTTATCCATCCGTTTCTCACAGACTCATCTTGCCAGAGAGTCACAAAAAAATCTTCATCTTTATTTTGTAGTCTAGCCTTTGCTTTCTTTTTGTCGTGGGCTGTTTTGTGACGCTCTCATAAGTGCTGCTTTGGGTCTGTGCTAGCCAGCTGTGTCCCATGGAGTTTGGCTTCAGGCAGCTGCATCTGGGGGTAAGGAGGCTACAGGGCCAGGCTCCCCCATCATGTTCAGCCAGAAAAGCTACACTTTTATTTTTTAATTTTGTTTTTATTATTTTTAATTATGAGAGGTAGGTATGTACATGGAAGTCCAGGTACCCTCAAAGGCCAGAGGCATCAGATCCCTCTGGACCTAGAGTTCCAGGCAGTTGTCATTCGCCTGAGAACAGTGCTGGAAACTGAAGCCGGGTCCTCCGCACAGTGGCGCTTAACCCCAAGCTGTCTCTCCAGCTCCTACACTTTTTTCTTTTGTTGTTTTTGTTTGTTGGTTTGTATGTTTTTGCTTTGTTTTGTTTTTTGGAGACAAGGTCTCACTGTGCAGCCCTGACTGGCCTGGACCTTGCTGTATAGATCAGGCTGGCATCGAACTCAGACATCCTGTGCCCGTCTCCCAGCTACACTTACTTTAATTGAGATTTTATGTAAGATGTCTTAGAGTCACAGGCTTTACCACTTAAAGGAGCAAGGGAGCAAAAGAACCTTAAAGACTGATGTTTCCGCAGTTTAACAGGAACCATTTTCATCTTTATATTTAGTTAGAACATCTGACTGGATGCACAGCCAATGTCTACTTGGAATATATTCAGCGGAACTTACCCGAAGGGGTGGCCATGGAGGTAACAAAGGTATGACTGAATTTCTCCCTCACTGGGGGATGTCTGTGTTGTTTGGATATATATCAACCTAGTCCCAGCTAAGGGGCGGGCCTGTGGCAAGCTGGAGTGGAATTGGTGGGCCCACCCCACACAACAGATTTCAGCCACTGAAGCCCAAGTCCTCGATGAGCCATCGCTGAAGATCCTCCCTAAGAGTTTTCTGGACTTGGGGACCACAGTCAGTGGCCACACCCAGGGATCATGGAGATTAGACAGACCGTGTCTACCCGTGCTTCATGTATCGTGTTTCCTTCTCTCTGTTTAAAGCCCCACAAAAGGAAAGGGGATCAGAGAAGGAGAACACTACAGGGTGACAGTCCAGCAGTCCAGCGTTCCTTCCAGAGTTGACTGCACTGAAGCTTTGTTTTGTTTCTGGTTTTAGACACAGTTACAGCAGTTACCAGAACACATCAAGGAGCCAATCTGGGGAGAAGTCAGAGAGGAAAAAGAAGACAGCAAGTCCTAGAACCTCGGGCCCACCAGCTCCTGGATTTGAAGTGAGCATAGCTGGGCTTGCAGCCAGCAGGATGCTGGGTCCACACCACCTTGCTTCCTGGTGCCCAAGCAGCCGAGAGCAGGGGCAGCGCTCTGGTGGAGGCTAGATTTCAGGGGATAACCGGGGCTCTGTCTACACCTCATTGCTTCTGTTCTGTTAACAAACTTGGGCAAACTGTGTTGTGTACTCTGAAACAAAAGAATCAGATTTAAACATTTGTGTAGCTGCCACTGTTCGATTATTAATTTGTACTGATTTAACATTTTTATCAATTCCTTCAACAGAAAAGGATCGAAGTCTTTTTCACACACATTTTTTTGAAGTTTCCTTCGGCTGGTTGGACACTGAGCGGTCAGCGGTTTTGACCTTGACCTTCAGCACTTGCTCGCTGGTCACTGATGTGGACAAACTACCCGAAGGTGCTTCATGGCATGCACGGAGCTCTTGTAGCCTGTGCTTCAGAAATTACCGCATTTCCTTATGCTCTGATTCATTCATTCAACAAGCTCTTGGTGAGCTTTGCACTCAGCACTGTGTAAATACCAGTGATTAAATAGAACTAGTGGCTTTCAGCATTTCAAGGCACCGGGAAATGTTTTTGCTTAAGTTCCTCACTGATAAGAAGGCTCCTTTGGGGATGTCCCTGGCTTTGTGTGGAGATGTCTGCTTTTCCATGAAACTCTAAGACACTTAAAGCCCAGAACGAGGTCGGGCACAATGAGCGGAAACAGTTGGTCTTTTTGGCTAAGGTAAGTAGAAAACAGTTGGTATGGCATCCCCAGGGGAGCACTTGATTTCTCCCAGCATAAGGAGGCCTGTGTCTTCTGTGGCTCCCTTCATGTCTTGGGGTAAGTTCCCCCTACCCCACACTAAGCTTTCTTTTCTATTCACAGGTGTCAGTGTTCTGAATGCATACTGCTTACATGCCAGGCTTACATTACTGTCATTAACATGAAAAAGAATTACAGCCCTGTGGCTGCTGATGACCTTCATCTCTCTTGACTGTCGTTCACAAATACCTAAAGCATACTCACCCCAGAACAAAGCCCCAAGATTAAGGGGTAGCCAGTCAGTCAGAAGCAGGGCTAGTGCCATGTCCAGCAAAGCAGTGATCTGTGACACATTCGTCTAAAAGAATTCTTCAGGCCGGAAAGATGGCTCAGTGGTTAAGAGCACTGGCTGTGCTTGTAGAGGATCTGGGTTCAGTTCCCAGCACCCACATGGTAGCTAACAACCATCCGTAGTTCCAGTTCCAGGGGATCTCATGCCCTCTTCTGGCTTCCTTGGGTGGGCATTGTATAACATGGGTGTACATGCATATAAAACAAAGGAAAATTTTTTTTTAAAGGAAAAGGACTAGGGCAGTGACTCAGTTGCTAAAGTGCTTGCCATACAATTGTGAGGGCCTGACTTCAACCCCCCCCCAGGATCCAAATAAAAAAGTCGGGCACAGTGGTACATGCCTATGGTCCCAGCACCGGGGAGGGAGACAGGAGAATCCCTGGGTCTTGCTGGCCAGCCACTCTACCCAAATTGGAGAAATCCAGGTTCAGCGAGAAACCCTGTCTCAAGAAACAAGATGAAGAGGCTGGAGCAGTGGCTTACTAGTTAAGCACTTGCCAGAGAACCCATGTAAATGCCATATGGTCCTCCAGCCTCAGAAGATGGAGACAGGATTCCCCACAGCAAGCTGTCTAGCAAGACAAGCTGTATCAGCCAGCTCTAGGTTTGACTGAGAGAGGACCCTGCTTCATTGAATAAGGCAGGAGCGTGATCAAGGATGATTGCTGATAAGAACATTGAGCCTCCACATGCACACGTACACACATGTACCTCACACACATGCATAGACAGACACATGAAATGGAAAAAGAAAATAGGATGGAGTGTAATTGAGAAAGATAATAAATCTTGGTTTCTGTCCTCCACATGCATGTATGTACACGCACACACACACACACACACACACACACACACACA